GGAAGAAAGCAGTTGCCTGATTCACAAAATTTTACAGCCATAAAATGTGGTTCCTTTTTGAGGCAATATGCTATTTTCCATTTTCCAGTGCTGTGCCTTTAATATGGAAATGAGGTCTAACTGCAAAGCCCAGGCTGACCTGAAGCTTGAAGTTCAGCTGCCTCAGCCTCACAGGTCCTAGTCTTGCAAGCTCTACCCACATAGCCAGCTCTTCCCTGAGGCTCTAAGAGTAACCAAGCAGATTCCTATCCTTCAGTACACAAGTTACAACTTAAGGGGAGATTTTTTGAAACCTTTTATGTTGAAAAATATTATACATTATATTGTTTATTTTTTTTCTCCTCCCAAATCCCTCTTAGAACCTCCCCAACTCGCTACCCATCCAACTTGGGTTTCCTTCCCTCCTCTCTCTCCCCTTAAAAAGTCAACAACAACAACAACAAAAAAAAAAAAAACAAAATAGAAACATACACAAAAATAAAAAATAAATAATACAAAATTCAAAAAAATGCCCAAACAGGCAAAATGAGACAAAAAGTCTACAAAAAATACTAAGTTCATATTTATTGGACAGCTACTCTTAGGCATAGCGCCTGCCCTGAAGTGTGGTTAATAGACCCACTGAGACTTCATTAGAATCAAACTGTTGTTTCCTTTTTCAGTGGGTATTGACTGCAGATGGCTTCTTGGTTAAAATGAGAGCACATATGCATTCCTCCCTTGTTGCTGGGACCCCATCTGACTTAACCCTTGCAGAATGTGTGAGTGCTGCCACCGTCTCCATGACTTCATATGTGCAAACATCCTGTTGTGTCTGAAAGTCATTCATCACATCTGACTCTTACAAATCTTTCTGCCTCCTCTTCTGCATAGATCTAAGGGGACATTTTTTACTTCAAAAGTCAAAATAAGAAGTTCCTGATATAAAGTGTGTGTTTCTGCATGGAATTTCTTATGTTTGCTCATGTGGCAGTTATACTAAACACAAAACGTGTGTGCACGCATGTGTGTGTGTGTGTGTGTGTGTGTGTGTGTGTGTGTGTATGTGTATGTGTGTATGTGTTGCAGGGAGGCTGCTTGTTCTTTCTAGCTTAGACCCAAAATAATCACACAGAAACTGTATTATTTAAATCACTGCTTGGCACATTAGCTCTAGCTTCTTATTGGCTAACTCTTACATCTTAATTTAACCCATTTCCAATAATCTGTGTACCACCACGTGGCTGTGGCTTACCGGCAAAGTTCCCAGCTTCTGCCTCACCTGGTGGCTCCATAACTCCACCTTCCTCCTCCCATGCTATAGGCCAAGCCAGTTCTTTATTCATTAACCAATAAAAGCAACACCATGTGTGTAAACAAATATGCAAACTGTTCTCCATGACAGGTGCCTTATGTCACATATTTGAGAGTCACATTCAGATGTGACTGTCCCTTCTCACTCTTTTGGTTATAGTTCTTTCTGTGTTGTGGATGGAACCTAGAGCTTCACATGTGCTCTTCTCCTGGGCTGCATTCCTAGCTCGAGATTCTTAGATTTTTTTTAACAGTTTATTTTTTATTTTTATTGAACTATACATTTTTCTCCACTCTTCTCCCTCCCCCCACTACAGTTCTAGGCTCTCCCATGACCCCCACACTTCCGTTTACTCAGGAGATCTTGTCTTTCTCTCCTTCCTAGGTGGATCCATGTATGTCTCTCTTAGAGTCCTCTTTGTTGTCTAGGTTCTCTGGAGTTGTGATTTGTAGGTTGGTTTTTCTTTGCTTTGTGTATAAAAGCCACTTATGAGTATGTACATATATTTGTCTTTCTGGGTCTGGGTTATCTCACTCAATATGCTCTTTTCTAGATCCATCATTTGCCTGCAAATTTCAAGATGTCATTATTTTTTATCACTGTGTAATACTCCATTGTGTAAATGTACCACATTTTCCTTATCCATTCTTCAGTTGAGGGGCATCTATGTTGTTCCCAGGTTCGGGCTATGACAAACAATGCTGCTATGAACATAGTTGACCACATGTCCTTGTGGTAGGATTGAGCATCCTTTGGGTATATACCCAAAAGCGGTATTGCTGGGTCTTAGATTGTTTCCTAATTTTCTGAGAAATTGCCATACTGATTTCCAAAGCAGTGGATTTTTACACCTTCATACATCCACCTTCACGGGAGCAACTGCTTCTTTCTTTGCATGTGCACGTCATGTGAACACTCACCCACAGTTCTCAGTTGTCTGCTTCTAATCATAACTAAATTCCTAATGCGTATGATTTCATCAGTCCCGATAGGTATGTTCTTCCTCTTCACTGCCTTATCCGTCTTCAACCTCTCTCCTGTTGATAGCTTCTGATTTCAATTTTCTTTTCATCAAACTCGGCCGAGTGCCTCAGCTCTGTTTCTCTAGCTGAGTGTTGCTGGAGGAAAATCACAGAAGCAGCAGTAAGCTCTTCACATTCTTCATCACCAGCTCCCACTGAGCACCTTTGTGCTCTCTTTTTCTAGTCCTTTCTTTTCCTTGGAAGCTGTTTTAGGCCTTCCTCCCTGTCGACACATCTCCAGCTTTCCATTTCTTCATCGTATCGCCTGGTGCTTCATTCATAGAGAAAACGGAAATCCTCAGGTGAGAAGCCCTACAATATCTGTCAGGAAACTATAAACACGTACCTGTACCCATTCTGGTTTTGGTTTGTTTTAACTGGTTTTGTTGGAAAGGGACCCAGAAGGAGTAGAAAACACACACCTTTAGGAACTGTCTAGGAATAGTCAGGGTTACTATTGCTGTGGTGTAAAAGGATGACCAAAGTTGGGGAGGGAAAGGGTTAATTTTGCTTATACTTCCACATCACTGTTCATCACTGAAGGAAGTCAGGATGGGAACTCACACAGGGCAGGAACCTGGAGGCAGGATCAGATGCAGAGGCCATGAAGGATGCTACTTACTTTATTGCTTGCTCCCCATGGCTTGTTCAGTCTCCTTTCTTACAGAACATAGGACCAGCAGCCCAGGGCTGAACTCACGCAATGGACTGGTCCCTTCAACATCAATCACTATTTAAGACAATGTCCTACAGGCTTGCCTACAACCCAATCTGTTGTTGTTATTTGTTTGTTTTTCAAGCCATGTTTTCTCTGTGTGGCTTTGGAGTCTGCCCTGGCACTAGCTCTATAGACCAGGCTGGCCTTGAACTTACAGAGATCTGCTTGCCTCTCCCTCCCGAGTGTGTGATTAAAGGAGTGCACCACCACCCCTTAGCAGCCTACAACCTAATCTTATGGAGCCATTTTCTCAATTGAGGTTCCCTCCTCTGAGGTGACCCCAGTTTGGGTTAAGTTGGCATAAAAACTAGCCCGGACAACAACCAAGTATATATATAATAAAAGAACATGAAACACTGAGGTAAGGGCTAATCTTTGGGCTGTAGTAAATTGTTTTTAATACGTCTGTGTGCCCACTGAGGGGGGAAAAGAAAGAAGAAAACTGCCTTGTTGTATATAAAATACCACAAAATGGGATGGGCATTTATATATCTTAGTTGGTAGAATATTGACCTTGTATGCAGGAACCCCTGGTTCAATTCCTAGCATGATATAAACTGGGCATCATGGTAAATCCAAGCACTCTGGATGTGGAATCAGGAGCAGAAGAAGTCTAAGTTCACCCTTAGAAAAATACTGAGTTCAAAGTCAGCAATGGGATTATACATGAGAACCTATGTTAGAATAATAATAATGATGATGATGGTGATGGTGGTGTATAATAATACTGGTGGTGGTGGTGGTATATAACTTTAATCCCAGCAGTCAGTAGCTAAAAAGAGGCTAGTCTGATCTACATAGCATATTGTAGGCCAATTATGACTATATAATTAAACCCTGTCTCAAAACCAATAATAATAATAGTAATAGTGACATAATACACACTCAGATACATTTGTTTCAGTGTCCACTTCTCTGTCTTCTGTCCCTACCATTGAGTTCTTGCAGAATTTTGCTGCTTTTCTGCTTATGTCCTTAGAGTGACATTTCCTATAGGTTCTGACTCTCACATCTGCTATCCTTTTGCTTCTTTGATATTCCTGCATGTTCCTCGGATGTGTTATCTTTACCAATCCTTTAAATGTTTGTTCCTCATGTTTATGCTCCTCTGGATTATGTCATAGTCTCTGTGCAGTTAGAAACTAGAGATTTGTCTGTGGTCCTTCAGGAATTCAAAGCCAAGAGGAAGCAGTATAAACATATAAATGTATAGTTAATGAGCATCATTATGTGTTGTGAATTCTGTAAGCACTTGACGTGTATTGTTTGATATAAACTTTACAAGAATTCCATGAGGTAAACACTGATGTTTAGACAAATGTTATATTTTAAGTTACTCACTTGTTGGAACTAAATTTTGGAAGCCGCCTTCCTAAATCACAGAACTGTACCCTCTCCCAAGACAGCTATATGATTGATAGTGTTTAGAAGGATGATGCATGCTTTGGCAGAACTGAGTCTTCTTTTAGGATATAGGTATTAAATGACGTACAGGATGATCCCCTGGGAAGTACAGAGCATTCTCAACTAAAGCCTATAATGAGCTCAGTAGCCTTCCATTCTCAAGAGGAACTCCAGTGTAGGAGGCCATGATGTTCAACCAAACAAAACACTGTTTTCAGATTTCCCACAATTGTGCCTTTCAAACAGCTCTTGATGGAAATTTGGAGCCTACTATTTCAGTGTTGTATTTTATGTTTTCAAGAGGGAATAAATTGTGGTACTCATCTCTGCATGTACAGTATCTAGCCAAACCAGTCCATGGTAATAATTAGTTTTGGATTTATTGTACAAATAATCTTGTAAATTCAAGATGACCTATCTTTGAGTAACAATTATAAATAAGTAATTTGGACATGTTCTAGTTAAGTTATAAGGTCATTTCATAGCTTAGCAGAAAAATTCAATACAGAATTTGGTCTACTATGTTCACTTTGAAATGTGTAATTCTTCCTTTGATTTATAGACATATGAGGAAGATCGAAGAAACAACTCGGAACTTCAAATCCGATGTCAGCGCCTGGCCTTGGAATTGGCAGACACCAAACAGTTAGTTCAGCAAGGCGACTACCGTCAAGAGAACTATGACAAAGTCAAGAGGTAGGTGGCCATGGGGTTTTCACTGTAGTGCTCACCACAGTCACCTGACTTTGTATCCCCCACAGAGCTCTTTCTCCATTGCCTTCTTCATTGGTGGACATGAGCTGCGGTTTTATATCGGCGTTCTTTAGTTTTATAGAAGTTGCCACCACCCTTTAAGATGTAAGAGAAGATAGAATCTCTGTTAAATGCCTCATGAATATGTGCCAGGTGTTATCTGATGAATTTCATGTAATGTCAGCTTAAGTGTTTAAATTTTCTCCCGTGATTCTTAGCTGCTCCTCTCGCTCTTAGAAACAACACGTGGTAAGGGCGCTCTCCGAGCGTGCTGCTGCCGAGCACTGGGGAACTCTCCCTCTACCTAGAATGGACCTCTCTAGCGTTCTGTATTTAATGAGCTTCTCTGATGTGTCCCTTGGTAAATCTCATTTAAACCTGAGTTTTGTCCTATAGATTAGGCAAAGGAGACCAAGTGGTAGTGGTGCACACCTTTAATCCCAGCACTCACAGGCACTTCTCCAAGGCCAGCCTGGTTTACACAGTTGAGTTCACAGATAGCCAGTTTACAGAGAAATTCTGTCTCTAAAAAACAGAACAACAACAAAAAAGATTAACTTTAGGACGATTGTCACATTTTTGAGTAAGTACTATATCCTTGCAGATAGGGCAGATTCATTTTACTTGTTCATTTGTTATATCTGCTATAGCTAGGATTCTTGAAATTCGGTAGTGTCAATGAATCTTAGAATGTTGTAAGTGAATTTACAAAAATTTAGGAAATATATTGGTATTTCTATTCCCACTTTGACTGGTATGTGGTATGTAATAGTATTTATTGTTATTCCCTAATATGGTAAATATTTGATCTTGAAATTTATGAGAGTTATATTCAGTGAGCGCCTGAGTAAAGCTGAATTTTGAAAGAAACATTTGCTTATTTATTCACTTGTGTTTTGTTTTTGTTTTTTGGTTTTTCAAAACAGGGTTTCTCTGTGGCTTTGGAGCTTGTCCAGGGACTAGCTCTTATAGACCAGGCTGGTCTCGAACTCACAGAGATCCGCCTGCCTCTGCCTCCTGAGTGCTGGGATTAAAGGCGTGCTCACCACCGCCCGGCTGTTTTGTTTTTCAATATAGGGTTTCTCTGTAGCTTTGGAGCCTGTCCTGGAACTAGCTCTTGTAGATGAGGCTGGACTTGAACTCACGGAGATCTGCCTGCCTCTGCCTCCTGAGTACTGCAATTAAAGGCATGTGCCACCCAACAGAAATATTTTATTTATTAATTAAGTTTTTATTAGCATATATTAATATGTAATGATGGGTTTCATTATGACATTTTCATACATATATATATAACATATTTTGATCATATGCATCCCTTACCACACTCTATTGTCCCCTTCCACTCCCTCCAACTGTTCGCCAAGAAGTGGGGCCAGGATTTATCCCTAGTGCTTTAACTGGAATTTTTGAACCCATTCTTTTTGGAAGGATACCTTGCTCAGCTGAGATATAGGAAGAAGGGCCTTAGTCCTGCCTCAAAGTTGACCCCCCTTGGGAAGAAGCCTTACCCTTCCTGAGAAGTGGATGGGGGACTGGGGTCGGGGGAAGGTAGCGGGAAGGTGGGGAGAGCAGGAGGAAGAGAAGGGAGTAGGAACTGGGATAGGCATGTAAAATGAGAAAAGAATGTTTAAATAAATTTAATAATAATGAATAAAATAAAATGAGATGTAAGGTGATACTTATAATTCATATTTTGATGTTATTTTCCTTTCTAAATCTACAGAAATAGTAAATAAAATGAGAAAAATTATAATCATCAAAATAATCTAGAACTCCCTGATTCATTCATCAGCAAATGAAACAAGACAAGTTATAGTTGATAATTATCAAGGTTGCTTAATAGAATCATGTATGTTCATTATAGTATTTTCTATTTTTTATTTTTATAATAAAAAAACTAAAAGAAAAAATATAACCTTTATTAAAAAATATAAGCACTTCCATATGTTCAAAATAGGACAGTAGAAAAGGGGGGGTTCCAACTGAATCCTTGGTTCATGAATAAGTTAGAAAAATAGACAAGCCATGTATGGTGGCTGCAGACCTGCAATCCCGGCTGGCATTGGAGAGGCTGAAGCAGGAAGTAGGATGATGAGTTCCTGAACACAGCATGGACTCTGACAAAAATCCTGACTCCGAATCCCAGCCTGGTACTTACTGTATGTAGCATCGCGACCCTGGGCTCAATCGTCAGCACTACACAGAATAAAAAGAGAAGGATAAGCCATGGAAATATAAGGTAACCTGGGGATATGCCCCTTGATAAGTTCTCACAATTATATTAAATTAATGGGTATATAGCTATTAAATCATCTCTAGGATTCAAATGTTTCTGAATAATTTATTTCTCCATAAAATTGTATGTGGCAGTTAAAAAAGCACTAACTTAGATTGGAGCCACTTTTGCTGCACGGCTCTACAGCTCCTGGCATGACATGAAGTCCCCTTGACCTTTCTCTAAAGAGTTCTGACTTCGAGGAGCAGGAAGTGCTATTTCAAAATTAATATTTGGGCTGTGATCATTGCTATATCAGCCATTATTCCTTGACAGGGACAGGAGAGAGGGAAGACAGAAGAGCAGGACACACTGCATAAAATTATATTGATGCTTTTAGTTCCAGTTAACACCACAATAGTCAACTGAAAAACCTCCCGGCACCTAAATATAATATAGTACAACCTATGTATAGAAATAAATGCTGACTATTATGAGTTATAGCCCATTGATAGGAAAAGACTTTGTCTACAAGGGCTTACTAGCACTAAGTGGGGAAAGAAGATGTGAACAGTACCATCTCAACTAAATCTCTGTGGCAGGGTGGCTGCTCTATGCTTCATTAATCATATTTTATCCTGCATCATCAATAGAATCTGCAGCCTCGGGTGAAGTATGTCAGAGAACAGGATGCATCTTTCATCTCGTGGCATTGAAAAAGCAGTGGAAAGAAAACAGTTCTCCTGTGCAGTTCAGGAGTCCGTGAAATCCCAAGGCTGTTCTGACTTGGGGAAAGGAGGGTAGAAGCATACGTATTTCTCTGCTCAGTTTTAGAGATGCCAGTTGAAGCTGAGCAGCACTCAGGAGGCAGAGGCAGGCAGATCTCTTGAGTTCAAGACCAGCCTGGTCCAAAGTTCCAGGACAGTCTCCAAAGCTACACAGAGAAACCCTTTCTTGAAAAAAAAAAAAATAGATGCCCATTGAAGGATTTGGCCCAGGTCTTGGTGGGAGAGGCTAGTCTGATGGAGAAATCTAAAATGTTTGGCTAAATCATAGCCACGTGGGACTGGAGCAGTGCCCTGAATGCGTGCCTATGTGTTGCTGGGCAATGTTATTTGAAGTTATAATAGATTTTTTGTACATTAATAAAGCCTGAATCTATATTTAATTTAAAATCTTTGACTTCAAGGTAAGAGTGAAGCCTAAGGTGAACGTTAGTAATCATGGCGTGGGGAAACCAAGACAGAAATGCTGTGAGTTCTTGGGGCGTGTGGATTAAGTGAAATCATGTCCCAAACAGCAACAGCAACCACAAAACAAAAATAGAGTTGGGGAGAATGAATTTGTACCGTAGAAAGAGTTGTGTAATTTACTGCTTAGTGTACTTTATGTATTTATGTAACACTAATGTTCATAGTTACTTATCTGAACAAGGTCTTGAACCTTCTGAATTTGAAAAGTAGATACACAAAAGCCCCACTGTTTTGGTCAGCTTCTTGCCACTCAACCCCTTTCAACTGTGAAAGAGGTTTCTGTATTTCCATGTGTATTTGATTTTGTTTTCATAGTGAACGCGATGCTCTTGAACAGGAAGTACTTGAAGTTCGGAGAAAACATGAAATACTTGAAGCCTCTCACATAGCTCAGGCTAAAGAAAGAAGTGAATTATCAAAAGAGGTAAGCTCCCAGTAAACTCACTCGTGTTTATTATATCTTAGTGGACAAACAGCCCAGGATAAAATTATGGAAAAATCATATTTTTCTCCTTTTTATGTAGTTGCCAGGAAAAGAGAGAGAGAGAGACTTAGCAGGCAATTATAGCATGAATAATAAAAACCCAGAGACGGATATTAGGGTTCAAGCTTAAGATCAGGAAAGCAAAGCAGCCAGCCACTGGCTCTTACCTCTACCTCCTGCCTCCAAGAGTACTCAGACTGAGACTGACTGAAACCTGTCTCCTCCTGTCTTAATATTCCTCTCTAGTGCTGGGATTAAAGGTGTGCACCACCATCTACACTGTATGGCTAACTAGTGTAGCTGCTGGGATTAAAGGTGTGTGTAACTACTGCCTGACCTGTATGGTTGACTGGTGTGGCTGCTTTGCATTCTGATCTTCAGGCAAGCTTTATTTATTAAAACACAAATACTATACCATTGTGGGCAATTTTGCATAAACAAGTTTATCACTTTTTAAAGAGAATTTTTATGTGATACACACAGGGAAAGTCCACCTTGAGAAGTGACAGCTCGCTCTGGACATGTCTCTGAATTTCTATAGGTAACCACCTTGCAACAGACAGTCACCCTCCTGCAGAAGGATAAAGAGTACCTCAATCGCCAAAACATGGAGCTCAGCGTACGCTGTGCGCACGAGGAGGATCGCCTGGAGAGGCTGCAGGGGCAGCTGGAGGGGAGCAAGAAGGCTAGAGAAGATATGTACGAGAAATACGTGTCATCCAGGCAAGGGTTGTTCCTTTTCCACACTTTGACTCTGTCTGCCGTGCTGAGAAGGAAATGCTTTATCGAGTCAGGATGATCTGGTATTACATTTTATTCTTTGTGTCTGAACATGCAGCATCTGAGTACATGAGTCTTCAGGCCTCAGCCTGTACGTTACCCAGGGCACGGAAGGGGATCACCCAGCAACAGCAGTGATGTGGTCCAAGTCTGGTACTAGTGTGGAGCAGTGCTTTTAGAGATTCCAAAGCCCTTCTAAAATGGTCAAGTTTTCTAAACATATTTCATACAAGATTAAAATATTACCTAAAAAACAATAGTTTATTTTTTTTTCATGAAAGAAAACCATGACTATTTATTTTGTCTTTGCAGAGACCATTATAAAACAGAATATGAAAATAAACTACATGATGAACTGGAACAAATCAGATTGAAAACTAATCTGGAAATTGAGCAGCTTCGAAATGCCTCTAGGGAAATGTATGAACGAGAAAACAGGTAAAGAAGAGCGCGATTGAGAAAGTTATATTTTTCTTTGACGATCCTAAGAGTTTTACTGAAATTAAATGCCATTTCTGAGATGAGTTTTTTAATAGTTGTAAATATAAATGAGAATGTTAAAATTATAAATTTGATAGCTAATTACAACAGCACTTATCATACTGTAGGTCTTTTTACTCTGGTAATATATCTCTTTCCTGTTTCCTCAGTAAAGACTGAAGACAAGAATATGAGAAAATTTAGAAGGTACTAAGATAGCAATAGTTTTACCAACCATTTCTCTTGGATACTTGTAGATAGCGGCTGCTTGTTCATTTCCTAGCTGCCCAGATCCGAAATAATCATACAGAAACTGTATTAATTATAACACTGCTCAGCCAATCACTTAAGCATATTGCTAGCTAGCTCTTATATCTTAACTCATTTCCATTATTCTGTATATTAACACAAGGCTGTGGCTTACCAGGTAAGGTTCTGGCATCTGTCTCCTTCAGTGGCTACATGGTGTCTGTCTGACTCTACCTTCTTTTCCCCAGCATTCAATTTAGTTTTCCCACCTTGTTCTATTCTGCCCTTCCACAGGCCAAAGTAGCTTTTCTAGTAACCAATGATAATAAAGCATATTCACAGCATACAGTGGGGAATCTCAGATACTTGTAAAAGCTCAAATAGTAATATATATATTATTTAACCACTGATATCTACATTACTGCTTATACTTTGCTGTGTAATCATTGTGACCATTTCCCAGTTTTTCAGTTGTCCATCTTAAAAAACAAGAACAAAGAGAATCCTTTAAAATACATCCCATCATAGCGTAAATTTAGATGTGTAAACTCCCTCTCCAAGTAGTGTAGGTAGGATGGCGGAATTGTGTCGGAAAATGGGCAACAACCATTTCTCGAGGCAGGAAAGCTGGAAGCAGCCTTGCTTCTCCCCAGTCCTATTCTGGACCCATGTTCACAATGGGTACCATCCATTTCAAGCTTCCTTTCTGCTCACACACCCATCGTGTTGGGAACTCAAGGGATGGACCATAGGCAAGTGCTCACATCCAGAGTTGAGAGCCTGAGGAGAATAAACTTCTGCCTGTTTAGTGCTCAGCCTTCTTCCTCCACTAAATAGTACAGGGCCGTAAACCAAGGAACCTGCCTCCCTTTCTGCTGGGTTTCCCACATCAGTGAAGGCAATCAGGACAACCCCACACTGTCCAACCTGATCTGGACAATCCCTCATGGAGACTTTTCCCAAGTGATTCTAGGCGTTGTCGAGTCGGCAATTAAAATTAACTGTCATAACACCAAACCAGAAAATTTAGGATTGGACGTAGGTGCTTCGTTCAACCATGGGTTGTTAGGTTGATCCCTAGATATTAACACTGTGATAGACAGTTACCACCAGATGGCGCCAAACTGCAGCCCAATCCTGTGCCAGCACAGGGTCATACAAGTAGCACTGGTACAAGCTTGCTTTTCTTATTTTTCACTTCAGTCTTCTGTCGCTGTGTTTATGTGACTGAATCTTCATTATGGCAGATCTGAAATTTAGTCATAACTTCTGTCCCCTTCCATTCTTCACAACATAAATAGGAAGTTCTTTTGGAATCTTACAACTTAGAATGGGTCAAGAAAGGTTTACTATTCCATATAAAAAACAAAATTCAAAGACTGTTTATATATTTAGTTTTGTCTTGGATCTGTGTGAGATAACCTTGCTTTGTAGTTAGATACATGATGTTATCCTGTATATTTTATCGGTATGCTCTTCGCATTATGAGTTAAATTGTAACGAGCACACTTGCATATGAGCACTTTCAGAAGAGAGTAAGAAGCTAAGAGTAGAGAGATTCCTTGGGAACTGGGGACAGAATGAGGAAAACTCAGGTCAGTGTCGAACATTAACATATAAATGACTTCCTTAGTAGGTCTGTGTGAAAGGGTGTGGTCCCTCCTAAGTGTTTAGAAATAAGACATTTTCCAAAGCTAGGTACATACCTGCAATACCAGTACTCAAGAGGCTGAGACAGGAGCATCACGGGTTCCAGGCCAGCCAGAGCTGCTTTCTATACTAAGGCTCTTTCTTGAAAAAAAAGACAGGGCAAAATTCTGTAAGTGAATGTATATTTTAAGAGATTTTGAGAAAAAAAAAAACCTAATCTTAAATCCTGTCTCCACCACTTGGTAGTGGGGTGAGAAACCACTTTATATCCCTGAGTTTAGTTTTCTCTTTTACAAAAATGAACTAATAGTAATGCTTCAGAGAGGCCCGTGTGGTCTGAACTAGATAGTACCTGTGACAAGTGCATTCCAATAGTTACTAATAGTTAGTTACTTTATACCACTGTCTATGTGGAGTCAAAATCATTTTATTTGTATGATGACAGTTTGCATAAAATCATTATTACATAAAGGCTAACTGACAGCATGGGATTATCACCTTAAAGGTCACTGTTATAAAATGGAGAGGGCCTAACGTGTCTAATTTATTTGTTCCCTAAGCATTTCTGAGAGGTACTAAAGGGGAAGTAAACTCGGGTGATTGAATTTCTCCAGAACAAAACTGCCCTTAGCGTGAGATGGCCTCCTAAGCACGGAGCAGAACTGTTGTGATCCGGAGTGTGAGTCGTTGGAAGCCTTCATTAGGCTCTTCCTGCTGCAGAGTCTGGAAACTCAACGGCTTCGCAGTTGTTTGAAGGAAGTGCAGAGCAGCACAAAGGAGACTGAAAATGCTTTTAAGTGGGGCCATTAGTGCTGCAGTGCTTTGATAATTTTACTTCCTGCCCTGCCAGTGCTGTCTCGATCACAATGTGCTGTCTCCCACAGTACGCAAGAAGCCTCAGTGACACACTTGAAATTTTCACAGAATATTAGTGACATCAAACAGCTTTAAATCTTGGATTTGGATTTACTTCTGGGGATCAGTTGAATCTGTCTGATCCATCCCAGTATGAACGTGGAGCTGGATAACAGAGGTTCCAGTCCACATTTTGGAAGCAAATGTCCTCATTAGTACTCCGGTTTATGTCCTCTATTGTTCATATCTTTCCAGATAATCTGTGCAATTTTTAAATTCCTTCTGAAAGTATTTAAGTCTTCTTTTCTTTTTAATTTTTGGGTCTTTTTGACTAGATTTTTCTGAAGTAGGTGGTTTTGCAGGTAACTGGGTATCTTGTGAAGAAGCTCTAGATGGGTTTTGTCGCAGCTCTCTTGTTATTGCCTGTAGTCCTTTGTGTTGTTCTTTGCATCATTATTACTTAAGTACTTTGGATGTGTAGGCTGCCCCACATAGGCTGGAAGTCAGTTCCGGGGTGCAAGAGTTTACATATACCTGCTTTGTACGTAGTTCTCGGGGTGGGGGATGCTGGGAAAGCAGGATGGGGCCAGGTTGTTAGAATAAACCCTGTGCAGAGATTTCTAACTGATGGGGCTGAGCCTAGAGCATGCTGCAGAAGTTACTTAGCTGAACATCCACACTATTTATTCAGTTTCATGTTGATAGTAACTGCTGCCACTTTTTAAACCTCAGCATCTTAATGGATCTTAAGTATTTAGTTTTGGAAATTTCTCATGCATATGGACTTCTCTTGTCTGTATGTTTAATTTCATGTGAACTGGAAAGTTATCTACTTCAAGTTTATATTCACGGCGAGAAATGAAAGAGTCCAAGTGAGTGCTGGCTGACTAGCCTATTTTCCCTACTATAGCGGAAGACTGGAGACTAGATAATTTGTAATGAGCAGAATTTATTATGTCACTGCTCTAGAGCTGGGAAGTTCAATAGGCAAGGGCCTGTTTCCTGCATTCTCACCTGGCAGAAGGCCAGAGAGCTTGTGAGAGCAGGAGACAGGCAGGCTTACTTATCTGTGGTCACAGCGTCAGCTCCACTCAGAAAGGCTTCCCCCTCAGAGCCCACTCATCTCTAAGTTTTATTATTGTTGTTTAGCAGTAATTAAATTTGAACATGGCTTTTGCAAAGGATAAGCATTCAAACCATAGAACTAATTCTATAGGACATTATAGCATTTTAGTCAACAGGGATCTCAAAATGTTTCTTCTTCTAAAATACACAGTTTTTCTTAAGAAAATTTATGAAGCCAGTCAATGGTGGTTTTTCTCCATTTAATTTGATTTGATGATGGCTGTCAGCTTCCTGTATATTGCTTTTATTATGTTTAGGTATGTTCCTTGTATCCCTGATCTATCCATGACCTTTATCATGAAGGGGTGTTAAAACATATCAGATGTTTTTCCAGCACCTAATGAGGTGATCATATGGATTTTTTTTTCAGTTGATTTATATGGCAGATTGCATTGATAGATTTTTGTGTGTTGAACCATTCCTGTTTCTCTGGGATGAAGCCTACTTGACCATGGTGGATGATTTTTGTTTTTTGATGTGTTCTTAGATTCAGTTTGCCAGTACTTTGAGTATTTTTGCATCAATGTTCATGAGGTCTGTAATTCTTTTTCTTGAATCTTTGTATGGTTTGGTTATCAGGGCAACGGTAGCCTCATAAAAAGTGTTTGGCAATGTTACTTCTGTTTTCCTATTGTGTGCAACAATTTGAGGAGTATAGGTATTAGCTCTTCTTTGAAGTTCTGGTAGAATTCTGCTTTTGAACCATATGACCCTGGGCTTTTTTTTTGGTTGGGAGACTTTTGATGACTGCTTCTATTTTCTTAGGGTTTATAGGTCTATTTAAATTGTTCAGCTGATCTTGATTTGATTTTGGCATGTGGTACCTATCCAGAAAATTGTCCATTTCTTTTAGATTTTCTAATTTTATGGAGTACAGGTTTTCAAATTATGACCTAATTATTCTCTGGATTTCTTCTGTGTCTATTGTTATGTCCCCTTTTCATTTCTAATTTTGTTAATTTGGATGTTCACTCTCTGCCTTTTAATTAGTTTGGGTAAAGGTTTGTCGATCTTGTTGATTTTCTCAAAGAACCAGCTCTTTGTTTCATTGATTCTTAGTATTTTTTGTTTCTGTTTTA